GAAAACTAAAGTATTCAAAGAGATTATAAAAAACAAAGATGACCTCAGTCTAAATATTGGTTCTCTCTTAATCTATCCTGTCTTTGGTGTTCTTCCAGAGAAACGGATGGTGAAATGAACTTCCAGAAATCCACTGGAGCCTTAATCTCAGACAAAGACCGGGACCTGGACACTCTGAGGAAGGAGGTATTCACAAGTTTTTACAAATTCTTTAGAAACGTCCCTCTTCTCTCAGCTTGATGAGGGTTTCCTATTTTTCTGTGTTGCTGCAGATCGCCGTGCTTCGAGGAGAAAACGCCACGGCCAAGACGCTGCATTCGGCCGTGGAGACGCTGGAGAGAGACAAAGCTCAGCTGCAGAGCCGAGTCCACGGTCTGGAGCAAAGGCTCATGGGATCACAGGCCTCAGAGGGAGAAGACTGGGAGGCTCCGCCCTCAGGTGAGGAGAGGAGGATCAAACATGAACTCTGGTTCTGGTGAGGATGTGTTTGTTTTGGTCAACCTGTTTTCTGATGCTCCTGCAGCCGACGCAGCGCTGGAGCAGCTGAGGGAGGAGAAGGAGTTCGCCGAGGGGCAGGTAAGACTGTCAGGACGAAAAGAAATTCTTACAAAGGTGGGATTTTGAAAGGGATTGAAAGGCCAAAGAAAGAAAGGTGGAGAAGATAACTAAATGTATGTTCTCAGCTTTTATCTGAGCCCACTTGAAGGTGATCTGTGTCTCGCTTGGTCTCCATCAGATAAACTTCCTGAACAGTGTGATCGTGGATCTGCAGCGGAAGAACGAGGAGCTGAAGATCAAGCTGAAGAAGCTCGCTCTGGCTGAGTTCAACGGCAACGACGACACTGATAAGTAAGGGATATATCAATGATATCAAATGAAGCTTCTCTGTGTTCTTATGTTATTGCAAATTGATACAATCATAACAAGTCATTGAGGAAGTGATTGGCTGATTAAAGAAAATGAAGCAGAAGCCTTACCTCCCTAACCACACTTTGCTTAAATGAAAGAAAAGGAACATTGATACCACTCATGTGTTTGTTAAACGTGAAGTTACAGCCAGGCAAAGTTAGCTTGGAGGCTAGAAGGCTGGAAACAAGGACAGACAGTGGTAAGTCCTACAAAATATGCATACAAGCCCCCCTAAAGTTAATTATTCAACCCATTGAAGGCTTTATGTGCAGAAATATTGTGATTTTTACACTTTTTATTTCCTTTCAAGTCATGAAACAAACATCTGAACCCTGGTTACTGTAGTTTTTTATTAAACAAACGGGAAATATTGTATTTCTTGTGGACTATTTCTATCTGTGGGTGAATCCATATTTGGTACTCTTTGTTACGGAGGGATGGTGTACTATATGTGGGATTGAGTTCAAATAAAGTACATTGTGTGTGTTCATGCTCCTGAAGTATGTCCAGGTCACCCAGTGAAACAGTGTGGCTATGAGGGAAGGAGAGGAAGAAGATACATCACACACGACTCTTTTCTCTGCCGCAGGTTTGATGACGGTGAGTCAAAGCGGGAAAAGAAGGCGACTCCGCGTCTGTTCTGCGATATCTGCGACAGCTTTGACCTCCACGACACGGAGGACTGCCCCACGCAGGCCCAGAGCCCCGACTCGGTGCCCCACACCACCTACCGAGGCAACCCGGCCGACGAGAGGCCGTACTGCGACTTCTGCGAGGCCTTCGGACACGCCACCGAGTCCTGCAACGATGATCAGACCTTCTAGTAGCTCCAACAGATATTTACCGGCATTTCAATTCCTTCATTTTCCTCCTAAACTCACCTTTTCACCCTCCAGCTTCATTCCCGTCAGATTTTTTTCATATTGTATTTTTCTACTGTATTTATGCATATCACTGGTAGCCACTGTCCTGGTCTGAATCTCTACTCTGCAGCTTTTCTCTGAAGATAAACTGTAATGCACAACGCTCGTCCAAATATATGCTGCGCAATATTGATGTTTATAACAAAAAGGAATCCGTCCTCTGCACTCAACGTTTTTATCGTGCTGTTTTGCATTTAAGTTTGTTTCTAAAAGTAAGAAGTACGTGTTGTTTTTTAGGCTTTATTTGATATTTAGCAGAAAATGATGCAACTTGATTAAGCACAGTTGAAATAAGGGAAAATGAAGCACCTCTACATTACTGTCTCTTAAGTAACACATTCCTCGAGTCTATGCGGCTGCAAAAATCAGACAGATACTGCCATGTCTAACTTTTTACTAATTTTATAATATTTACTAATATTTTTGCAAAGTGCTTCTTCCAGCATATCCACCTAAAACGAATTATAAGATCCAGGAAAAATATAATCTAACATTCTAAAGAAATGAGGCATAATGTTGCAGAATTATACAGTAAGTCCTGAAATCTAATCGCATTCATTATTTGAAAAAAAAAGTTATTTCCAAATATTTTACGACAAATGATTAAAGCTTTATACTCAAAAGATTTTGAATAGACATCTGTCTTATTGTTTAAATATTATGACTGTATAATATAACTGATTGTGGCTTTTTCTTTATTTGATATTCTTTTGTATTTTTAGTGGCCCTCTAACTCAGTCATTATCAACCTAAATATTAGTCTATGTAAAACCTCTAATACTTTGAGTAAATGTCAGTCTTGACGTTGGAAATGGTAGCTTCCAAGGTTTCTCAGTGAACGCCATGAGATGCAAACAAAGACAACAAACTAATTACATACACCTTGACTTAAAGGGACAGATTTTACACACAAAGGTCAGTGTACTCGTTTACATTTTGTATGAAGTCACAGATTTATGTTTGGACAAAACCATCTCACTATTAATATCTTCGTCAGCCTGCACCAGGAATTTTGGGTGTTAAAGTAAAAATAAATTCAAAGCACTTTAAGGACGCCTGGTCTATAATGGTGTAGATTTTGAGTTTTAAAGTTCATCTACATGTGCAGAGCAGACACAAAATGAACCACTTGATTAGATAGATTTGTTTTATCTCTGTTTGTGTTGTCTCATTTCCATAGATCATCATTCAGGTTAATATTCTCGATGAATGCCACTGAGAGCTCCAGAGGTTTCGTTGATGACGACGTTGTTGCATTTTGTTATTTATTGTCTGATGTTTGGCTAACCAGTGACATTCCTACAGGGACATAAGCTAGCACTGATTCAAGTGTAAAGTCTGAACTAGGACCACTAGACGGGCTTCTGAAATGCAAACGCCTCATGTTACAGAATGAAAACTAACCAGATAAAACTATAGAAGCCTCTACACTAACTTCATTTTTTTTTTGCACTGTCCACTTTAAAGATTCAGCCGAAACAAACAGCGCTTTAACTAAAGATTCTAAACAAAAGTGAATTTATTTTAAGAGTCAGTACAGATTATTCCGTCCCATTTCATACTGCCCTCTTTTAACTGGTTTGACATTTTTTGGAAATACACCTATTTGCTTTCTGGTGGAGAGTTAGATGGGATGATCGACACTACTCTGTCTGTATGACAAATATGAACCAAGTTAAGGCAGGTTAGCTTAGCTTAGCACAAAGTGTGTAAACGTTTTTTAGACACTGGTTTTTCTACAGGTTAACTAATCAAGATGTTAAAATCAGAGGTGCTGAAAGGCAGATGTAGTCTTATACTGTATTTATAGGGTAACTGCAACAATTTGACATCTAAAGTCTGTATCGAGGTGTTGGGGAGTAAAGAAAAGTCTCCAGATAAAAAACAGTTTTCCCACAGAATGGTGTTTCCATACATCTAAACTGCATTTTTAGTACATTTTGAGGAAATGACATTGCCTCCCTGATTATGGTCGCAGTTTTAAACATGAGGTTAAGGTTGTAAATGAAAACAAAACAAAAGAAAACAACAAACTTAATTAACAACCAGATATTTAAATGTTCCTCGCATTCTTTTTAACACAGGTCAACATGTCCCATGAATCTGTTAGTTGGTAGTCTGGTTGCATTGTGGGTAATGCAGGCGCCAAGTTTTTAGGAGGAAGAGGAATATTTTATTTTGAGAAAAATGAAAGCTGGTTCTGCTGCAGCTTATTTGAATCTTTCCGTATTTACAGTGCATCCTCGGTCTGATCATTTAATAAGTGCAATAATACGGTTTATCTGTAGATAACTCCTTTCATAGACAGATATTAAAGTTGTATCAATCATTTCAACTACCTCTAAGAAAGTGAACATATTCCCCAGAAAATGTCAAACTATTATTTTAAATTTAGCCTCTGTAGCGACTTGTATTTGACTCCTCTTGTTCTTAAGCACAATATTTGGATCATATTGAATCTTCCCGTGTAACAGTGTATTTTAATACATGTGACTAACCTTTGTAAATACTAATCAGAGGCGTCCTTCTGATAAATGTGTACACAGTGCCATGAGACAAAAGAAAGCTTTTATGTGTACGACATTTTATTTTTCTGCCCTGTTGTATAATGCGAGAAAAACAACATTTGTATAGACTTTAAAACATTGTGTACTTTATAAGTGATGCGTCTAATTATTATTATTAGTGTAATGTTTTATATATGTAACTATTTCAGGCACTATCTAGAAATGGTTTGGAAACTATTTTACAGATGTCGACGTGGTGTAAGATGTCACTGTTTTCTATGTTCTGTATACTCCTGAGCAGTCCAATAGAAACACTTTAAAAACAAGCTTGTGCTCATGTGGTTTTTTCACTCTAGCAGAAAACACTCAGATATATTTAAAACAGTATTTGCACAATGTAGAATAACTACAAGTAAAAGTCCTGCATTTATATATTTGTTAAGTTAAAAGCACATTTTTGACACAAGTTCTTTGTGTCAAAAGTCCTGAAAAGAATTGTGTGAGATGCAACAGTCGTACAGGATGGATACGTTTCAAAGATGTTAGATTTAGGTCAATCAATTATTTAAACCTTTATAATAAAGAAATATATAATATATATACATACAACTTAAACTAGTACTATAACCCTTCCCTCCAAACATTGAACACAAAGACCAGAAACTTTTGTGAATTTTATTAAGAAAACAAAACCATTGGACATAATAAAAACCAAGCACTACTGATGGAATAAATAAGTCAAACCAAACCATAAATCTGTACAAGATCTAAAGTCAAACAAACTGGTCCCGATAAGAAAAAAACAACAACATACAAGATATTATATCACAGCTCTTTTTTTCTTTGTTTTTTTAAAACACAGTTATGAGCAAACTATAAGCAATCGGCTCAATCAGGTGAAAGCTACAACATAGTTGAGATTTTTTAAACAGAGTGTACATAATGCTGTTTATAACTGTTAATGTCAATACATAGCATTTTAAGTTCCAGCGCTGCTGGACTGGGAATGAGGTATATGCTAATCCATCCTCTAAACTGAGACAATTGTTTTTTTTCTTTTCTCTCCATCCATGTGAATGCTGATTTGTTGAAATCTGATCAAGTAATTCCGCATCATGAAGTACTTCTTATAGCCCCTGTTATGTCATGAAGTCATTGGTTTGCAGTGATTCAATCCATATTCAGTAAATATTAATGAAAGTTAATGTGTGAGGTTGTTCATTACGAGGTCACAGGTCTGAATCCGCTTTTTTGTCAATATAAAGTTCAAGTAAATTGCACAAATCTGCACGAAAACCGAGAGCTCGATGCCACACGTGTATGGATTCAGTCGATAGAGAGCACCGTAAGGAGAGTCACAAACCAACGCTCGAGCTAAAGACCCTTCTGTCAGAGATAGTAGCGATACGCAGAGATGAGAAGTGAGTCAGCACAGGTCATGATAGTGGAGCAGACGGAAACCAGCCCCACAAACTGGTCTGTCTCTACTTTGGAAGAAAGACGTCCCCTGAAGTAGACACAGACCAGAGACTCCGATTCAGGAGGTTTGCAGATGTTTAAATGTGCGGCAAATGATTCTGGGCAGTGTTCAAATTCCAGTCTACAAATGTTTTAAAGGAATAGTTCCACATCTTGGGAAAAAACACTTTCATGACTGCAGAAAATATAAAGCCGCAGTCCAAACATAGTTAGCTTAGCATAGCACACAGCCTGGAAACAGATAGTCTGACTCTTATTGAAGGTACAAAAGTCCAACTTTATAATAATCTGGAAAATATCTTCTTTGTTTTCATACTAAGACAAAAAGCTTATTCCTCTAAAGCTCATTCATTTAAACATTATGATCTTGTACTTTTAATCTGTATAAAAACAGGAGTTTACAAACTATTAGGCTAGTTGTTTCCTTTTGTTTCCAGTCTTCATGCTAAGCTAAGCTAACAGCTTTACATTTAACATACAGAGTGGAATTGAACTCTTGATAAGTGATTATTACAAAAAATAACCATTCCTTTAACAAAAAAACAAGTGTTGCAGTTGATTATAAATATTGGATTACACTAATAAGTGATGATTATAAGAAAAAACAAACATGGCACCAAAATTATAATTCAAAAGCGGCTTGACCTGAAGCGTGTTTTTAAATCGTAGCAACTCAAGGCACACCTTCATGATCTACGCTACCTATGCCTGTGCTCACTACATATCCAAGAGTTTATCTCGACCAGTAGCATCTCCTTCTACAAACCACAAACTAACTTAAAGATGTGAATGGAGAACTTTTCATGGATAGAGAAAAAAGACTTCCACTACAGCAGCAAATCTATCTGTGATCGATTGTGACATACCATAACAGTGCATTGACCCTCCTGAGAAAAAAACCCTAAACGTTTCCTAAACAAATATAGAACATTAGTCTAACAGGAGGCGAATCGGGAGGATTGAAGTGACGTGGTCTCAGGGTGGAGGTTCCCCCCGGGAGCCGCTGATCTGACACCCAGTTAGCCTCTATCCCGAGCTAACCGTTAGCAGTAAAATGTGTTAAAAACGGTTTCAGATTAGCGCCTGGGACCAACCTCGTCCTAATCTCAGATCCCCAGTGTTAACTCTTTTCAGTCACAGATGAAGGTCAGTGTTTGAGGGCTGGCCTGGCGGGGGGTCTGCAGCCCGGGGTCAGAGCTTCTCTTGGCATTAGTGAAGAAGTGTTGAAGGAAGCACGGAGGGGGGACCAGCGAATAGAGGTAATATCCATCCTCCCTCTGTGGCAGAGGAGTGTTAGGGCAGACTGGAGGAGGGGAAGAGAGACGTCTGTTCTCCTTTCGGTTTTTAGAAAGGGAGGTGGGGTGGTGAGAGGAGAGCCGGTGCGTCCATTAGCCCTAAATTATCTAGAGGTAATGGAGGGAGGGGCAGAGGGAGGGAGGGAGGGAGGGAGGAAGGAGAGGAAGGAGAAGAATGACTCAGCTCCAAACATTTAACTCTCCTCAAAGTCTGGAGACGAGGACTCCAGTTTGGTTTTCTTGCTGGGTGGGGTGTCCTCATCTAGGTCCTAAAACAGAAAATGAAATTGAAAAAAACATGAAAAATATGAATCAGACACTTTGTTTGTTTGGTTTTGGAAATATTTGCTGTGATTTTTGCTACAAAACCAATAAAATGGAGTAAAATAATTTCTAAAACATTAGATTTAAAGATGTTGTGCTCACGGCATCAGGAAATAAGGCAGCAGTTTTGTTTCTTAAAAAATAGATAGTAATTTGCCATTGATATATGGTTTATGGTAGTAATAATAATAATTTCTAGTAGAAACTTCAAGAAATCAGATACTGATGAGTTTTGAAAGTAGTTTGGGGACGTGTTTGTACCTGAGTGGCTTTGCTGTCTGAAGAGTCCTTCTCCCCCGAGGGCAGAAGGTCTCTCTTGGCACTCGGTGCTCTCTCTGAGGTCTCTGATGAAGACGTGGTCTTAACTGAGGAATAAAGAAACATAAACAAATTAGAACAGGGGAGCATTTATTTATCTGGCAGTGGAGGACTGAACAATGTTGTTGTCGGTGATGTGTTAGGGACGGCTTGTTCCTGACCCTTTAATGACACAGTGTGGTGGTGTGGAGTAACTGCACGGTGACATAGAGTCAGTTCAGTTTAGTTTAACAACAAGGATGTAAAGATCAAAACTGGAAACATTAAGATTTAAAAGCTGAAGAGAAAAAGAGATTATCAGCAAATATTCTGATTATTTATTTTTTCATGCGAGTGGTTGAAAAAGTCGAAATTCCCCTAAAACCTGCTATTTTTACTACAACTATTTGCCGCCTTTCTTATGGCAGTTCATTAGTTTCTCGTTTAACAAAACAAGCAATTGGAAGTCACCTTTGCCTTTTGGAAATGTGAAGAGCGCATTTTAAGTATTATTTTCTGAGTCACATTAATATCCTAATTCATCTGTTGCAGCCCCGCTGTGCACAGATGGGTTCATCCGTCTGTTCAAGTGATGGCTTTTTGTTATTCAGACAGGAGTTATAGAAACCTTAATGAATGATAATCTGGCGTGTGAGGAATACAGAGTCCACTAACACATTTTATTATTAAATATTTATCATTTTAGGTTCATCAGACAGCAAATGTTGCTGCCTTTTTATTATGTACGATGTGAAAAAGATTTGAAAAACAATATATTGGATATCTTATTTAGAGCTGAGACGATTGGACGAATTGTTAAAAAAGAAAGTAAAGAAAAAGTGCTTATTTTTTTATGACAACCTGCTAGTTTTCTGTTTAATCCTTATTAAAATAAGAGCAAGTCGAGATGTTTCTGGTCCCGACATTAGAAGATTAGAGCAGAAAAACCAAAACAGGAAGTGGCTAATCATGCATCTGATCAGCCACACTACCACCTGCTAGCTGTCTGTTGAGTTAGAAAGAATGATGAAAATAAAAATGTTTGTTGATGTTGGAGGTGTGAGGGTGACTGACCCCTCTTGCTGTCCGGGCTCTGGTCGCTCTTGATCTCGCTGCTCTCGCGGTGAGACGTGGCGGTGGGCTCCGGGGTCGGGCTGGTGCTACAGCTGTTCTCCTGTTTCACCGGGGAGGAGTCAGCGATGGAGCTCTGGTTGCTATTGTCATCTAGAGAAGACGGAGAGGAGTACATGTTGTTGCTTTTGTAGGATTGTTAAACATTGTTAAATAAGAGTGAGTAAAAGACACTGCAAATCCATGCCCTTTAAGGCTTTCACTACGTACCGTGCATGTCCATCATCCCTGGAGAAGAGCTGTTCTCTGGAGTCGTCAGCTCTGAGCCGTATTTCTCATCTTTACCTTTCTTCTTGTTTTTATTTTTCTACAAAAAGGGAAAAAGCATATGTTATAAAAAAGAAGAAGAAGAAATGTCCATGCTTTACTGGAATATAACAACCTACAAACACGCCTGCTGAAAACATTAAGTTACGTAGTGTGTTCACTTTAAAGGACAATTATAACCCCTTAAAGAGGCTGAACTCACATCCTCTGATTTGGGCTCTGTCACTGGCACCCACTTGAAGATGCGAAGGGACGTGTCTCCAACAGTCACCCATTTCTTCTCCCTGTGTAGGATAAATAAAGAAGCTGACTCAAAGGCTATAGGGCATCATACCATTAAGAACATTACCTTGGTCTTATACTGTAGTGTTTAGATAGATTGTTAGTGAAAATGACTCAATGCAGAAAGATAAAGCAACTTATCATATTTTAGCAGCTAGAGTTGGGTGAGTGTAGGGTAGTTTTTTGCTAAATGACTACTAAATGTCTGTAAATGGAGATTAGGATTTACACAGCATGAGTATATCCCATTATTAATAAATAGACTATAAAAAATCACTACTGACCCCAAAAGACTCATCATGTCTCTGAATACAATTACACCAAGGCCGTTACAATACTTTTGAATCAAATACTCAAATATTCACATTGGAGTAGATGGAACCAAAGGATATATGTATTATTTGTATGCACAAATCAAGTAAATTAACAAAAATGGTTGCAGATACTCCAAACTCCAAATAATGAAATATAGAGGCAAACAGTATAACTCTGGCATTCCCTATTGAGAAAGAAGCATTTAGTTGGTGAGGTGGAGAATATTTGTATACCTTTTTACTTCATATATATTAATGTCAATATCATTTTAAAAAGTACAGACATCTGTTCAATTATGTTGTGGATTACATTATTCACCTTTTAAATGTAATTAAATCAAATGTATGAAGAAGAATATAATGATAATACTCAGAATAACTCAAATGATCTTCTTTAGTACAGTAACGTTACTTGGCTAAATGAACAATGCTGTATAAAGTAACTTGTTGGCCACTTTGTAGCAGCATAAAGTTTGAACACAATAGAAAAAGAAATATATATTTGTAAAAAAGCATATTTGTACCTTTAATCTTAAAATTCAGTGTATACAATGTTTGTATTTTAAATGTTATTTTCAAACCAGCAACTTTTACTGACTTTGACCTGGGGACATTTGATTAAACAACCTGATAAAAAACAACAACATATACATGTTGACACCAGGCGGGGTTACACACCTAATATAAACATTAACAATATATTCCCTGCATTAAAATATGTTTGTGTGAGCTGTTAAATGTGAATACAAGTGTGTTTTGTGTGAAACGTTAAGACTGAGTCACTACGTGTTCAGCCATGCTACTTCCCTCTCCCAACCCCCACCGTGCCTTCTTCTCTATTGGACCTAAAGGGCGACTCAAAGCGCTTAATTTAAAACTCGAGACGGAATAAAGTGCTCTGACTCAAGAGCGCCGTCGTCAAATTGTGTCCAAGTCAACAGTTATCGGAGGTTTCGGTGCTAAATAAACCCGCCGCCGAGCTTCAAGCTCAAACAGCGGGCAGCAATGGCTTCATGTGACTGCATCGAAATGGCTTCTGGGTTCAACCCTTTGCCGTTAATGGAAAAAACCGCTAGAATCTGAGTGATACAAAGCGTTCAGACACCGGGCTGAGGCGGTGAGCAGCACGAGTGCGCCCCGGTGCACCTGAGCTGTAAGTACATCTGTTCAGAAATCATCCTTTTCTTTCAATTACATCCCTCACCCCCGTCCCTTTCCCTCTCCCCCCCCCCCAACAAGCCGAAGCCTTTCTCGTGTTAGATAACGAAGCCCGCTTTTCCCCCTCTCACTCTCTTACCATTTTCGTACTTTCTCAATAGCGGCCATAACCCGCTTGATGTCATCTTTAGCCCTGCTCCGGGTCTCAGCTCGGACCGACCTGCCCGACATTGCCGCGGTGGGTATAATATTTTTTTAAAGCTCGCCGGCAGTTCAGACACAATGCAAACAGTAGAGCGCACAGAGGAGCCACTGCGCATGCGCGGCCTGATAAAGCAGAGAGAGGGGGGCTGGCTGCAGCTGCACTATGAAGACAGATCTGTCTCCCTGTCCCTGCTGTGTGGAGCACACAAAGAAACTGCTCTCATCCAGCAAATACAGCTCGAAACTGGTAGAAGTTTGGTTTAAAACGTGGAGGAAGTACATCTTAAGTAAATAACATAAGAAAGATAAGTGGGAGTGTATTGCTTTCCATAAAGGGCAGAAGATTGTGTTTCCCTTGGCCCAGTAGGAAACAAAAAATGAACATACTGGTACAAACAACAGAAGAAAGAAACAAAAACAGGTACAGAGCAAGTTACAAGAAAAAGTACACTTTGTGAAAACATATAGTACAATACACATTAAGTACAATAATATATTAATATAAATACAGGTAGCCTATAGTTTCAATAAATGTCAAAGTGGTGAAATACGTTTTAATTTATTGTACCTACGTTACAAAGTGACAATGTAACCTGCATTCACATCTGCACACTTATGTAAATATATTTAAAAATCCATTCAAATGATCAACGTTTTACCGTGATATATTTTTTCAACAGTTACTATGACTATCATTTTATTTTCAACTTTTAATTTTTGTGTTGTTATTTTAATTTGTATTCTATTTTATCTTTATTTTTTACCTTGAGTGAATCCTGTTTTTCACTCTGACCCTGTTGCTGCTATAAACGCCTGAATTTCCCCAGGGATCAATAAAGTTCCATCTTATCTAGCAATGCAGAATAGTCAATTTCAGGATAATACTTAACTTTAATTGTTTTAAAAAAAACATAATTAAGCAATTTGGATATACAAAGAGACACCATTTTAAAAATAATTTTGAATTTCTACAATATGAATACATTAATGTGTTTCCAAATGTTTAAGTTTGCACTCAAAATAAGATAATTTTTCTTGATAGAAAATGGTCATTTAAAAAAAGACGGGTCCAGACCATGGATGTATAATAAGAACTAGACTGCAGAAAGTGACATAGATATGTATCTGTCTAAAGTAGATGTGTGTTCAAATCCATCAGTACTCAAATGTATGTCAAATCTTTCGACTCCACGTAAATAGTACACGACGTTCGGTGCAAAAAATACCGTGTACGTCATCTCCCTGCGACACGTCAACACGCAGCTCTCCGCCAGATGAGCTAACACTGTGCAACACGGCGGATAGTGATAATAAAACTTTCCAGACAGACTTAACCTGGCTTTTTATGGCAGAATTATAAGAAGTGTAGCTCATATTGTTAATTACAAAGGAATTTATCTAATTTTGTGTTTAATTCTATTTGAACGAAAGCGGAGTCAGCAGCTCTGGCATGTGTCATTTTGTGTGCTGACTGAAGTAAACATCCACCGTTATTTGTTTTAACACTTAGGACTTCAGCTTTAAGGCTCTCTTGTAGGTGTCAGGATGAACGAAGAAGGTAAGGTGCTTCTCATTTCCTCCCATGTTGTGGTTGGTATGATTATTAAACGTGTTTTTGTATTTGTTTGTTGGTCAGAGCTGGTGGAGTATTTCAGGGCTCAGATGAGGAAAGACCCGGACATGGCCTCTGCTGTGGCCGCTATCCGCACCCTGCTGGAATTCCTCAAGAGAGACAAAGGTGTGTGTTAATCCCAGCATCATTTTACTTGTTTATGTAGTATTGGAAGAAGAAGAAACACATTCTTAAAGGTCACCTATTATGCAACATCCACTTTTTCATGTCTTTTATACATAACTATGTGTCCCTGTTCCTAATCCATTTATATAAAAACCTGTCTGAAAATGAGCTGATCTGATTTTGGCCACTTTATGATGTCATTTTTGGCTTGTGTAACCATTAGCCAATCACCAACCAAGGTAACACCTGGCAACCTGTTTTGTAAATCCTTCCCTGCCCCTCCAGGTGAAACCATCCTGGGCCTGAGGGAGAGCCTGACGGGGGCCACAGACTGCCTGACAGGAGTGGACTCCTCTGTGGCCGTGTCCTCGGGAGGAGAGCTCTTCCTGCGCTTCATTAGTCTCACATCACTGGAGCACCAGGTGAGAGGCTTCTCTGGGACAGCTCCATGCTCCCAAGCTAAACAACAGTCAACATCTCATATCTGCAGTAAGCAAGGTAGTTCAGAGACCCCTCTCTTCAGTATTGTTTTCCTGCTTCCCTGGGCTGAATGTGCCCTTGAGTCGACTAACAGTTCAATGTGAAATAAATACAAAAATACTGGCCATATAAAGAGCTTCCAAGTCTAATTTCAATATAAGACAATATGGGATCAAATGTACAGACCTCATTTGATGCAAAATGCATTAAAAGGTGAAGCTTCAGCAGTTTGGGTTAGCCAAATCAAGTATAGGGTATATTAACTAAGTTACATCTTCTTTCTCCTTGACATTGTTAACTTGCTGGGATACTAATACATAGAGGGAATTCAATGCTAGAAAGACTTACTAAATTCCTGCTGGGTTTGTCCAGGGATGTTATGGTTTATTGGTCTGTGTCTTAACCACTAGGGCCACTATGGCGTTGTGGCAGGTTTATAAAAGCTGATTCTGATATTATCTCGACTAAATATACTTCAATGTGTCAATTGTAGTAAGGGAAAAGCTAAACATTGATAATAATAATAAGTTTAGTATTTTAAACCACAATAACATTGCAATGTTAAAGGCTTTCAACAAACATCTAGAACCTTGTGTAGAGACATATCATTTGCAAATAATTAAACTGAAAATGTACATTTTTGGAATTGTTACCCCATTATAAAAAAAACCCTGAGATTTCTTTATTATAAGAAAGCTATTTATAGTGCCAAGTTTGCTTGATTTAAAGGTGCGAAAGTCTGTAACTACCTTCTTATTCTAACTCTGCTACTCCCAGGCTCCCAGTATTTTCTTTTGCCTGTAACATATGAAATCACCAATATTTTGTCTCTTTTTCAGGATCTGTCTCGCTGTAAAAAGGTGATGGAGGAGAGAGGAGAACTTTTTCTAAAGAAGATCTCATTGTCCAGGACCAAAGTCGCTAAGCTCTGTCACACCTTCATCAAAGACGGAGCTGTATGTATTTGTGTTACTTACAAAATTCAAGTTACATGTATATCTGGGAATGACTCATTGTTGTACCAATAAAGACCTGCTTGTATTATGAGCAGGTGTAACACTTAGCTGTTGTGACTGAAGGCCATTATTAACCTATAGAAAGACATGTGGGTGTGGGTTGGTAGGAACAGAGCTTCATTTACACTGCACACACATAATGTGAAAACGTAATGACACATTTCCCCAGAAAATCCTGACTCACTCGTACTCCAGAGTGGTCCTGCGGGTCCTTGAAAAAGCTGCAGCTGAGAAGAAGCGCTTCTCTGTCTATGTGACTGAATCACAGCCTGACTCAGCTGGGTGAGTGAACCGTGTCAGTAAATGTGTTTTTATTCTGAGGGGATACGCACTTATTGAATCAGTATTTTGTTATACTCAGGCGACAGATGGCAGAAGCCCTGAGAAAGCTCAATGTTCCAGTCACAGTAGTTCTGGATGCAGCTGTGGGGTAAATATATTCATCATCAGGTTAAAAAACAGGTTGTACTTTGACAACATGGAAATGTATCCAGTGGGTTTGTTTGTGTTTTTACAGGTATGTTTTGGAGAAAGTAGACCTAGTTATTGTTGGTGCGGAGGGGGTCGTTGAGAGCGGAGGGATCATCAACAAGGTGAGTTTGTGGAATAAATAATGACAATATTTAAATTTGTACTGAATCAATTAGAAATATTTAAATTTGAAAACTTTCATGATACCAGCTGGTGAACTCAAAGATAGTTGTTTAGTCGAAAAATCTTGCTTTGCGATACAAACAAGTAAACCTTTTTGACTTAATAATAAAATAACAGAAATCAAAAAAATGTTTATGTATTAACGTATCCATTATCTAGAATACATTTGTATTATAACAATCAAGGTGGGGCTGATTTCAACTAATTTAAATGTTGAGAAAAGTGAGAAAATATTTTAATACCAATATTTAAATAATCATTTTTATAATTATTAGATTTTTTCCATCAGTCTCTAACAAAAAATATAATTTCAGAGCTTTATAGAAGTCAGTGTTAGGATTTTAAAGAAGACAGAATAAGGGATTTGATTTAAAATCAAGAAAATGTCACTTTATTCTAGAAAAAAATATGTTTAGGATCTAATTACACAATAGACTCAAAGAGATGATTTGTGGTGTTTACGAAATGTAATGGATCTGAAGTATGAAGTAACACAACATGGAAATCCTCAGGTCAATATATCAACATTGTACTTACTATTCACTTTTACAGATTGGCACTTATCAGACGGCCGTGTGCTCTAAAGCTCACAACAAGCCTTTCTACGTGGTGGCAGAGAGTTTCAAATTTGTCCGACTCTATCCTCTCAACCAACAGGACGTGCCCGATAGATTTAAGGTACGAGAATTTCATGGAAACTTATGTTCTATGACATTAAGAGTATTTCTTTACAAGTCTTACATCGTCTCCACAGTACAAAGCAGACACCCTGAGGAGCGCTCAGAACCTGTCAGAGGAGCATCCCATGATCGACTACACCCCCCCCTCCCTCATCACCCTCCTCTTCACCGACCTGGGAGTCCTCACCCCGTCTGCTGTCAGCGACGAACTCATCAAGCTTTATTTATAACTCAATAAAACCCATTCATGAAAAAGGTAAACCCATGTCAAACGTTTATTTGATTTCTGCTTTTTACATGTAGAAACACAGCTTTTCACACCTCCTCGCCCCCGGAGCCCTCGTGTGTCGCTGCTCCTGCTTTGTGTTTTGACTTTGGTCCGCTGATCTGAGCTGATATCTGATTCTCGAAGTCCTCCTCTGTGATTTTCCCTTTCTTAAGTTTCTTGAGGATGCGAGTGTCATTTAAAAGCTCTTGCATTTCTTCATCCTCCACATCAGAGCCCTGCAGAGAGAAAGAAAAACATGAGATCCATAAATAAATCCAGCCCACTGAAGGGATCATCAGGAGATTTCTTTTTTTAAATACCTCGTCACGCCTCCTCTTGGCGGACCTTTTTTCCCTGCGCTCCTTCTTGCTCCTCTGTTTCGACCAGGACTTATTCTTGATGAAGTTCTTTTTGGGATACGAGATCTTCACTTGATCTTTCAACTCGAGGAGCAACTTCTGTCTCAGCTTCTCCCTTTGCTTGTCCTTGTAGCGGATTTTGTCTGTGTCCACTGTCGTCTCCTTAAAATCAGGGAGTGTATCCCCTCTCAGCTCGGGCATCTTCGGCAGGCGGAGGAGGGCGAAGCCGCGGGCTAAGGTGGCCAAATCCAGATCTAGACAACAAAATACAGCACAAAATGTTATATCTGTGTACTTTATGCACACTGCACAACTGAATCTGAATGTAGAGATGCTGTTTTCACCTTTGGACCTGAAGATGAGACTACATTCGTGTTTGGCGTAGGCCTGGACGTAGGACACGAAGGCTCTCATGCCTCTGTCAAACATGGCGCGGTCTGCCAGAGCTAGAGTCTTCACTTTGGGCAGCACATCTGGAACATCTCCTGAGAGGACCATCTTCTGGAGGGGGCACTGAGGAGAAAACAAGTCAATTATCATGTCTCCACTTCAAGTAACCTCAGATTTTGTGATTTGATCATTGGTTGTCAACAAAAAATGTTTCTTTCAATTCATGTTCTGTATATTAGGACCTACTGGGCGAAGCAGGCATAAAATGTGATTTTTCTAGCAAGATAACTCAAAAGAACTCACTTTCTGATTGATGGACAAAAAATTGACATAGGCCTCCTCCATTGGCAGCAGAAAAACAAGGGCGTTGCCCTGATTGCCGATACGTGCCGTACGTCCACATCGATGTACAAACGCACTGAAGGAAAAACAAGAAAGAAAAAGCTGCTGTTTAAAAATAGAAACTTGATCTGAGGAAGAGCTTAAATCAGGATCATAAAAAATGACTACTCACATTTAGCTGTGTAAATACTGAATCCTTTAAGACACACAAAAAAGGACCAGCACTTCTACAGTGATGTATTTTGCAAAGACTTCGTTTTGCTCACCTGGCATTGCTGGGAGGATCGTACTGCAGCACCCAGTTAACATCGGGGATATCGATGCCTCTGGCCATGACATCAGTACACACCAAGATCCCACTGCCACACATTACCAACATGTTAAATTATATAAAGACAAGATAACACACACATTCATTGTAGCTGTGTCACCTTTTCAGGGCCCGGAAGTCAGCAAAGATCTTGTTGCGTTTGTTTTTCATCTTGCCGTGGATGCAGTGGACATCTGCTTTCTTGACCAGAACCTCGAGAGCCCGACCGTAGTACTCCACACAGGCACACGTACTGGAGATGAGATAACAAGTGATCAGTCAGGAAATGCATATGTGACCAAAATAAATGTGACAGCATAATGTCTGACAGACACTGCAGGTGCTTTTTCATGGCCAATCATTTTTAGAATAAGGCCAGATTTCTTCCAGATCTGTTGTTGTTTGCTCTTCAGTTTTAGAGAATCTGATTATTTCCCTGAACAATCATTGATCTGGCTGTCAGATAATTGGTTGGATATCTAGTGTGAAAAGTTTGGTCAGCTATCCTTTAGTTTTGTCTTTTTTTATTTCCTGCTTTTTAAACACATGTTCTCTCTTCACTACTGCGTTAGCTCTGAGTGTTAGCGATGCTTGCTAATGTAAACAAAGACCATATTACGTCCAAAACAGTCGGGCATTGTTTCTGATGGCACCGTTTCTGATAGGGCCGTGGGTCCGCATTTGCGATATTACGTCATATCGGACGCAAATCTGTATCAGCTTTGTTGTATCCCCGTTTTTAGAGATTTGGGTATGGAGGAAAAGAGAGGGTTTTATTTTCTGACACTTTGTGAGTCTCCTTACACACCGGGGACACATTTTATGTATTAAAGACATCAAAAAGTGCACTTTGCATGATAGGTCCCCTTTAATGTCCCTTAAGGACACTTGTTTTCACAGCCAGTACAAATGAATATATTTACAGATAGATATACACACACATAGCAATAAACAGATTTAGTCAGTACACAAAATCTTTATGTATGTATTCGTGAAACCCATTTTAAAATGTAAAAGGTTCTTAGTTTATCATACCTGAAGAAAACCAGGTTCTTCTCGTGCTTGTGTTGCCTTAGAAACGTCACCAGGTGGTTGAACTTGTTCTCTGATCGACATATCTGAAATGACAACATGAGTTTTTATGTCAATACATTTTAATTAGGAGCTTATTGATGAAAAAGTTGGAAGTGTTACTCACAGTGTAGTAGTTGGAGAGTCTGGAGGGTGTTTTCTGCATAGAGGTGGCAGCTACACCTTTCTCCTTGACGGTGATGCGCACCGGGTTTCTGAGGCCGGCCCTCACCAGCTTCTCCAGCTCCTGAGTCTGAGTCGCTGAGAACAAGCCTGTACGCCTCTGTTTGGGCAGGAAGCCCAAAATGTTGTTCAGACTGGACACAAAAAAAGAGTCTTTCAGTGGTAGAAAATACCTAAAAGGGTTAATAATTAAAATGACATCTATATATGTGACCCGCTCTATCGAAATCAGTCGGAAGACGCAACGGCTCATTTCAAAATAAACGTAGATTTGCATAAAAAAAATATTTCGGGGTTCGGGTGTTTTGTTTGATTTTAAATAAACAAAGTCTTGGCTTTCAGAATATTAAAGTTTGATTTCCAAAATCAAACGATAAATACATTTTTGAAGCTTGTAAAGGGAAGATGACAGCTCTCACTCGCACTCTGCTCTTCCGCAGCGCCGCTCCCCCTCCCTCTGCTGACATTATGAATGTAACGCGTATAGTAATCATAGATAACACGGCAGGGTCCGTTACAGTTTGTTTTCATCTGATTTCAAATAAACAAAGTCTTGGTTTTCAGAATATTAAACTTGTTTTCGGCAAATTCAGATGATAAATACAACTTTGAAGCTTGTAACGGCATAATTACAAGCGGAGAACGGAGTAACTTAACGTCACAGCAGGC